TCATTTATGTAATTATGATAACTCTGTGCCTTGAAAATGTCAAAGTTACATGAGATTTCAGCTTTTAAATGCAGAGTAAACTGTTACCTGCATTTGCTATTCAGCAAACATCAGCTAAGGGTTTAGACTACCTTGTGCCCAAATTGTGGAATGCACAGTATGAGGGAGATAATCAGATTAATAAAAAATTGTAACAAATAAGACTACATGTGCTCTAAAGATACATGTAAAAAGAGATTTTTTGAAAGCACAGAAGAAGCAATACTTTTTTTTGATACGGGTGAGAGAGCAGAATTGATGCTGGGAAGGAGTTCATAATTTGTCTCATTAGGGCTTCTCAATAAAGGATTTTAATTTTTGAATAAACAGTTGAAACTATCACAAGAACAGCAATAACAATAATATCACCTCACATATTTATGACTACCTCTGTATCCAGACAATGTACTATTATTTGTATGTAGATATATTTTAATAACAAAAAATATTTAAGGGGATTATAAAAAGTATATGCTGTCTGTAATTGATAAGTGACCTAATATATTTCAGACAATTTGCAATTGTTTGATTAAAAGCAAAGATAGGATAAAGGCAGCAATAATGTCACACAGGCAAAGCAGATGTACTGACAGAGAACAAAACCAGGCGTGTGACAAGAACATATTTACTAAGAAGTTACAAGGGTAAGACATAAATTTGTTTAATGGTTTTTTTCAGCCAATGTGGGGGGAGAAATATCAAGTGGTGAGTCACAAAGTTCATTAAAAAATTCAGTTGTTCAAGCGAATCTCAATAATTCCTAAAAACTAACATTAGAAAAATTTCCCAAAGATGAACACCATAGTCAACAACATTGGGACATAAACACAGTGAGCGAATCCATAGAGTATTGCTTATGGGTTCCCTCAACATAGATCAGAGGGACCCCACTCAACAGGATTCAATAAAATCAATTATGGGATTAACACAATGTGTTTCATGTAAACTGCTCTTGTTTCAACTATAATCCAGAGAGAGATTTTAGATTAGATTTACCTGTATGTGCAAGATTTCATATCCTTCAGGAAATCTTGAATCAACAATGTTTTCTCAGGTGAGCTTTTGATTTATATTGTGTATTTATGAGTTCAACAGTATATGCTCTGAAAAATACTTACAGTGCAGCTATATTCTATGCCACCATTTCTATGCAGAGCTGTTTGCTTTAATAACAGTCAAAATGATAGTGTATTTGGCATCCAAAAAATTGAAAATCTAATAAGTTTAGAAGTTAAGAATCAAAATGTTGTTCCTGTTTGTTAAATTTTTTTTTTGAGAGAAAGAGAGGGCAAGAATGAGACAGAGATGGGGGTAAAGGGGTTATGGGGGGGAAGAGAGGAGGGAGAAAAGAAGAGAGAGAAAAACATATTGTTATTAGACCCCTAATGTTTCCTATGTTGTACAAAATTTACTCAAGTGGTTGGGATAGAAGGGTCAGAAAAGGGAATGAATATTTACTGAGTGCCTTCCAGTAGTCTATTGGGTGTAAGATCGGCTGCAAGGATATATTGCACAACATGGGAAATATAGCCAATATTTGGTAATAACTGTAAGTGGAGTGTAACTGGTAAGAATTGTATAAAAATAAATTTAAAATTAAATAAGATTTTTTGAGTATCTGTTTATAAGGTATCAGGTGTGGAGAAATTAACAGAAAAAATGTTTACAGGGTGTGAAGTCAAAGCACCCAAATATATGAATGCTTGGCTGAGGCCACTTTAAATGAAAGTTCTGGTCCTAAATTAAAAGTTGCTGATGATAGAAACATTCTACTGCAGAGGAATTAAGAGAAACAAGTGTATTCAAAAGATATTTAGTTTCTTCCATTTTTTGGCAGTCGCAGAATCTAACAGAACATACAGTAGGAGACTCTCAAACCAAAGAAGGAGAGTAGTACCTCTGCATACTAAGACTGATAGTTAATATGACAGGACTTTTAGCTTCACTGCTTACTAACTAGAAGATTTTGTTTTGCTTTCAATTTCGACAAAGGAGAGAAAGAAAGGGCCAACTTAGAGGGGAATGAATCCTTAACGTATTGGCAAGAGTAGTTATTAAGACACCAAGTTGTGCTTCTTATCTTATTCAGGTGGGAAAGTATCTGAATGTCATGATATTTCTTGAAGTCCATGGCCTATTGCTATATTAAACCAAAAACAACTTGGTATAAATTTATTAGATTCTACTATAGATAAGTAACAGATGAATATTTTTTAAATTCAGGAAACATTTACCACTAAGAGAATTCTTTTCTTTAATGGGCTTTGGGAAACATTTTCTGTCACCAGAGATCTTGGAGAGAAACTAAAAACTAAGTAGATTTCCCAAGACTCTAGAGGTGACAGAAAGCTCTCTGTGGATCAATTAGAATGATTAAATTAATTGAGAAGACAAACAGTGACTTTTTTGAAAATGTACCTAATAGATGTTTCATTTATATTAAGCTCTATTATTTCTTATTATACAAGTTACATTGCTTTTCTTATCTGAGTATCAACTAATGTACTGAAGGATTTATACAGGTCTCTATGTTTGAGAGCAATAACTTATTTATACCTTAGATTTCTATAGATATCTATAGTAACTTGGACAAATTAGATGAGAGACAAGTATTATCATAAATTTCTACAAGAAAACTAGACCTGAGAGGCATGGCTGGCAAGACAGAAGATACTGGTGGATAACCATACTGTTTGTCTCTAAATCCAGCTGATTTTTTTCTGTGTTATCATGCTGTCATATATCTTATGATTTAGTAATATGTAGATATTGAATGAAAAGTTACTTCCTAAAAGTAATAGGATTTCTTTTTTTAATTAAATATTTTTTTATGTTTTTATTTTATTGGAGTCAGAACACAACATGAAATCCACCCTCTTAACAAAATTTGAAGTATTGTTCACTGTAGGCATAATGTTGTGTAGCAGATCTCAAGATCTCATTTATCTTGCATAACTAAAATGTTATACCCATTGACTAGCAACTCCCCATTTCCCTTCCCCCCCACCCCATAGCAACCACCATTCTACTGTCTGCTTTTACGAGTATTTACTACTTTAAATACTTCATCTAAGTGGAATCATGCAGTATTTGGTTTTCTGTGACTGGCTTATTTTACTTAGCATGTCTGCAAGTTTCATCCATGTTGTTGCATATTGCAGAATTTCCACCTTTTTTCAGGTTGCATAATATTACAAGTAAAATAATTTCTAAATCAAATAAGTTTAAACTGCACAACCATTAGCAGAAAAAAAAATGCATTCTATGTAAACTCTAAAGACCTCTGTGACAAGGCATTCTAATTATTCATGGTAGCTCCTGAATCACAGATCTCCCAGCTCGTGTTGGACATAGACACTCAATTCATCTCTATCCAAGGAAGCAGATGTCTTGCAAACTAGCACAGCAACATGTGCCATATCTATTCAATCAAAGATATACTAATAATTTCAGAGGGAAAAGAAAAATACTACCATAGTGCATGTATATATTGACACGCAGATATACATATCTCCAACATGAAATAAACTGTGACTTGGAATCAGTTAAATATTGTTTCTTTACATTTCAGTCATTTCCTGTTTTTTATTATTTCTAGAGTATTGATCTTTTAAATAAGAAGAGACAGATACTTCCCAATATTAGAAGAGTTTTGTTTCACACCTAGAACAATAAAGGAAAAAGCACTGGGACTGACATCCCTGGAGATAGCAAATTCAGGCAGAAGGTTGACTATAGGTAGTGAGAATAGGAGATGATGGCCATAGGCTGTGTATGGGAATTGGATGGAAGCAGGATTTGGGAAAGTTTTAAACTTAGAGCAAATCATACTGTCTGTGACAGACAGAAGTACTCAGATTGTTACAACAAGAGTAAAACTGTCAAAGTGATGCAAAAAAGGGGGAAACATTTTTTTAATTAAAAATCTAGCTGAGTTTGAAGAAGAAAGCAAAAATTTTTCATCTGTCTACACTGTCAGCCCTCTGTGCATGTGAAAATATATTTATTATTTTCTAAATTAATTTAATGAGTTCCAGATTGTACAGGATGTCATAATGGAAACAGGATTAAACAAGATAACAAGGAGTTTTTCTTCTCTAAATGAGTTTTACCTAGACACCCCGTGTCGTACTTTTGATCTTAACTGTGTTTCATTTACCACATTGAAGGAGGTTACATAAAGGGTAAAATAATAGAAACTTAATCAGGAAACAGAATTTCTTATTGCTGCGTTTTATTACATACTCTTGCCATATTCTTTAGCCTAATTCTTGAAAATAATAAAAGATGTGTCATTTTAAAATAAGGACAATTGAAACCACATTGCATTATAATTGTGCATCTTTCTTCTGAACCATCCCAAACATTTCACACCAATTGATCTTCAGATCAAACTTGTGGATTATTTAAGGGTTGTTGGTGGGGAGTATAAACTTCCTGAACTCTACCTTCTGTAAAATACTAGATAAATATTACTGGCTGGTAAATTTAATTTTACAGATGAAAAACAAACACAAAAAGGCAAAATTAAGTTCTCAGAAATGGACTCTTATTTCCAAAAACCCAATCGAATAACTTTTCTGCTGGAGAATTGTGGCAGAAATTCACTGGCACCATTAGTCAGGGCATAGAGTTTTACAATGAAAATAATATCTTGGAGAGTATTATCATGGCATATAAATGTATAGTTATACTGCACACATGACTGATTTTGTTAATGTAATGCTATTTTCTGGTAGACAAATCTCTGTATATGCTTTATATAACCCATACTGAAATAATTAGTCTATTTAGTAGACACTTGAATTCTGAAACCTTGTCATTTCTGTCATCTTCAATCAAATTGGAAAAGACTTCCAACTTGGCAACAAATTCATCTCCTGAACTTCTGAATAAATACTTTGGAAAGTTGAGTTTACTTCTCTAACATTTTCTCATTTCATTTCCTCATCACCGGCCAGATAATCACCATGGCCACAGCTTTGAAGAAAGAATCATCTATGGAGTAGAAAATAGTAGCACGTTCCTGGAATGCAGTCCAAAATCACAGCGAGCTCTGGTCTATTGGCAATTCCAGAGGCGAAATGAAGAGCGAAAAGAAGAGGTATAGGAAAGAAACTGCCTGGATTAATTCTATATGACATATGCTGTTAAGTGACCCCAGCATGGTTGACTTGAGAGGGGAAAAAAAAGTAGTGAATATTTATTCTTTTCTTAACATACCAATACTCATTCATTAAACAAGTATTCATTGAAGGCTGATTTTATGACAGGCTTTGTGATAGGAGTTAGAGAAACAAAGGTGAACTGGTAAGAGTTTTGTCTCAGAAGCTGTTTGGGGATATATTTTAGAGACTTCTTTTTTCTTCCTGGAGTTATCTGCAAAACAATTATGTTATCTACATTCATATACAAGAAAAAAATCTAATCCTTCTACTAATTTTAACTTTTGTTCAATTAATTCTGCTCTCCAAACATGTTTTCCTTTCTCCATTAACTTCCTCCTCAAATGGGAAGGGGCAGTTAAGGGAAAGGAGTAGTAGATTTTGGATAAAGGATCTGAGGTCCAGTTATGAACTCTGATGTGAACTGTGCATGTAGTTTCACACAAATCTTCCTCCTCTGTGGATCCATTTATTCCTCTGTAAAATTTTTAAAAATACATACATAGAAAATCTCAGTGAGTACTCTGAGCCTTTAAAACTTTTTAAAAAGTGTTAAATAGGGTAACCATAGTATGTAGGTGATTTGTGAATGTACAATGTGCAGACAATTTTACAAACATAATCTGAATGTAGAAGTAAAAGTCCTTCTGTTATCTCTTTTGACAGTTGAAGCAGTCTTCAAACATGTAATCACATCATATAAATGTTAAGGTTGATTTTATATATTACCAGCTGTGGCTTTCAGAGATCTCTTTTGTAAACTGTATGCAAAATAAAAGTGAGGTTAGACATATTAAATAGCCTATCTTCATGTCACATCTAAGACTTAGGAAATTGAATAAATAAGTAAGCATGCAATCCCATGTTTTTTCTGGTTGCTCAACTGCTGAACTTATTCTATTTTTCAAACCTTATTATAAATTTATTCTAATGCTGCATTGTTCTCTAGTATCATGTTTCTATATTTCCAATTCCAGTATTCAATGTTAACTTTCTCCTATATTTATATAGCTTATTTCAAATTTATAAAGTATATCTTTGTCCTTTCATCCCATTATCTTGCTTACTTTAAATTATTATGAGAAATTCTATTAAGACAATAGACAGCAATGTTTTGCAGTGCTTCTTAAAAACAATTGGAAGAAATGTATAACTCTTTTCCCTGATAGGAAAATGCAGTCATTTCTCTTAAACTAGAAATTTTATTAACTGTGAAAATGTGTCTCAGTACACAGTCTAAATTTTTGCTGAGACAGAGTTTTGGAGCCTATATTTCTTGTAAATATGTATGATTTTACTACATCTTGTCTTTTGCTAGATCAGAGTGGATGATCATATCATTAGGACCGAACAAGGCCTTCTATTGCGTAGTCTGCAGCGGAAGGATTCAGGCAATTACCTCTGTCATGCCGTGGAACACGGATTCATGCAAACCCTTCTTAAAGTGACCCTGGAAGTCATCGACACGGAGCATTTGGAAGAACTTCTTCATAAAGATGATGATGGAGATGGCTCTAAGACCAAAGAAATTTCCAACAGCATGACACCTAGCCAGAAGGTCTGGTACAGAGACTTCATGCAACTCATCAACCACCCCAACCTGAACACAATGGATGAGTTCTGCGAACAAGTTTGGAAAAGGGACCGAAAACAGCGTCGGCAAAGGCCAGGACATACCCAAGGGAACAGTAACAAATGGAAGCACTTACAGGAAAATAAGAAAGGTAGAAACAGGAGGACCCACGAATTTGAGAGGGCACCCAGGAGTGTCTGAGCTGCATTACCTCTAGAAACCTCAAACAAGTAGAAACTTGCCTAGACAATAACTGGAAAAAATGCAATATACATGAACTTTTTTCATGGCATTATGTGGATGTTTACAATGGTGGGAAGTGCACCTGAGTTCCACCAATTATAAATTAAGTCCATGAGTAACTTTACTAACAGATTTTCTTCCTAATACCAACACTTAATAGAGGTCAGGTGAATGCAGATGTTCACACTAGTGACTTAATGTTTCCTATGAGATTTCACTATACAGGTTTTGCTTTCTTCTTTGCCTGAGAAATAAAAATGTCATTTGCCATGTTGCCATCTAAAGAAGAAAAACTGCATCAGCAAAGCCATTTTATTGAACTAGAAGTTTTAAACTGCATGGATTTACTAAGCTGATGAATATTCCAAAACACTGTTGGATTCAAGGATATTTTTTGTCTACCAGCACTCGTGTTTATATGTACTGGAGGAGTAAAATGATACTGAATTAAACGGTCTGTGGAAATACGAAAAACATAAACCATCCATCATCCAGAAGAAAAATGGAATACACTGATCTACTACTGATGTCTTCTTCCAGCTTTGATCTAAAGATGTATTTTATTAAAACTATAATTTAAATGTACCATGACAAATATGCAGAAAAAATTAGCTCTTTTCTAAGCTAGAGTAGGTTTTTGTCTTACAATTATTGTGCTATGTAGTTTTTTGTTTTTAAAAACTCCAATTGTGTGCTGCTTTTTTTAAAACGTTGTTTTCAGTTTTGCAAGAGGAATAACCAATATTGTCCTAGAAACATATATACATCATTAACAACTAATTCCTAAAATCTGGATATAAATTATGCTTTATTTCTCTGAGGAATTAAGAAAAACCACTTCCCCTTCTTCAAGTAGTATCTAAATTAATTAGAACCTGCATAATGTTCTTAGAAAAACAGAGCATTTAACCCGAAAAAAAAAGAGAAGAAAGAAATAGATTTGTAAATGCATTTTCTTGTACCTAATGGATCAACAAAGAGAAAAGGAACTGCATATTTCGTGCAAATAGTAAGCATTGGTTTAATTTTCATAGAAAATGTCTTAATTCTGCGCTTGAATTCCTGCCTGATATTTGAGACATAAAAACTCTCTCTCATGACTCCATTTGGAATTTTATCTGTCACTTAATTTTTTTGAGAAGAGGGAGATCAGTAATATTCAGAACAACCTCCTAAAAGCAAATTTCCCAACTCTGTTTACATTTTTATCAGCTGCCTCTTATCTCACCTTGTTTAAGACAATTATCTGTCTAAAGGACACATGACTCTTTTCAGGTCAATGGGAGTGACTTATACAAACTATTTTCCAGGACACGGCTCACACTTAAAACATGTAAAGCTCTTTGTCTCCTGCAACAACTTATAAAATAAGATAAAAGATTATTAATTAAGGGCTTGCCTGCTTCATTGTCCTAAGATGATTCTTTGAGAATCATTGACTTCAAGATGTATAAGACCTTCAGCATTGCAATGCAGTTTTGCACTGCACTCATCTTTCCAAGAATCCCTCTCTGGGTCCTTCGTCACACACAAAAATGCAAAGGAAACATCTTATTGCTAATTAATGAAAGCAGCATTGAAATTCTAACGCTAGCTGTCTTGGGATTCTAATTAACTCAGCATTAATTTCTCACCTCAGACTACAGTGAATTTTTTTTGAATTCTCTATCAGCTGAAATATTCACAGATGGAAGCTCATGTTTCAGTTTTAATGATTACTTTGAATAAATGATTTTTTGACGTTTGTTTCAATGGGAGCCTAAAAATATTCTACATTCAATTTTAGGCTCCAATGATTAATACAATGTTACTTTTAGAAGTACATCCTCAAATGGTAGCTAAATTTTAAATTATTTGAAGGACAGACTCCTGTAGAGGAAAAAAAAAAAAATGAGATATAAATCAAAAAACCAAGAGTGCTCCAAAAATAGGTCATTTAAAAATTTCTCATAGAGTATCTTAACTGTACTAAAATTCGGTGTTGCATTTTATTCTAAATTTGCAGCTGAAACAAATTTATTTGCAATAACAGAAGTATCTTATTATTAGTCCTCAAAAATAAAGGATTTGAAGGGGTAGAGATTGTATAACTTCAGGGATGCCTTCCGATATCTGAATGCATTTTGTTTAGCATTATGAAATACCCATAGAAAGAATGTGTAGATTTCAACTAACAGAAACAAAAACAAATCCACTGACATGTCTTTATAAATCAGGTCTAAGTTTTCGAAGAAAATTATAGATATAACATGCAGGTAAATAAGTCTTATTACAGTCATAATCTGCCAATGGGTATTGAGGTGGGCAGTTTGCACAAAAAGTAATTAATGTCCCATTTAATTCATTTTCAATAGACTTTGGCTTATGCATGTATCATCAGAGTTGAAACTTTGTTAAGAGACTCGTGACCTTGAACAGATTATTACAGCAATCTTAAAACAGGAAAAAGGTACAGCACAGCAGAGAAATTATGGCCCAGTTGAAATCAAATGCAAAATGTAAATGTACACTTACTGCTACATTTTATGTATTATTTAGTGATTTTCAGTGGTATGTGTTTAATATTTTTGCTACCTACACATTAGGCAACAGAGATGTACATAATTTCGAAAAGAAGAGGAAGGACAGTGTAAAATGCAACTTTTTGTAGGTACTCCATTTCAGTGTTCAACATCACCCTAAAATGCAAGATTTTCCCACATAGGCAACAAGGTGGCTTATGTGCTATTTAAGGGCAGAAGCTGTGTGCCCATTCAATCAGCATGTTTTTTTGCCAGGTAGTAAATACGTTCCATATCTGTATTTATCATTGCATTTCAGATGGGAACTAGAAAACTGGAGAGAAAAATGTAATGAAACTGCTGCTGTAAATTATTCCTTTTAGCATGTATTCAGTTGCTAAATACACATTTCTTCAAAATATTTGAATTCAGATGTCTTTACTATTCCATGTAGCATATAGTGTCAAGGAACATAAGTTTAGAAAAGGTTGAGAACCAAAGTCAGGTTGCTAGCAGATTTCTTCATTGTAGTCATCTGTAAACTGGGCTCTATACTTATGGAGATGATGTGAATTTAATGCCCTTTAAATTAAATACTGTTATTTTATGCCATACTTAAAAAGCAAATATGGGGATGAAATTCTATAGTATGTCATTATCATAATCAGTTTGGTTTCATTCTGGATCTACAAAGACGCCTGATAATTGTTATTGAAGTTGCCTATCCTGAAGGTCATAAACAAGCATTTTATTAATATGGAGTGATTAGTATAACATTTTGAAATCTTTGTTTTATGAATTCATTTTTTAAACACAATCTGTGTTCACTTTAATGGTAATCAATCAGGTTTCATGGCTTCAAAGACACACTTAACAAATAGGATTCAACATCAGTGTTATAATGTGTTAGAGATAAATTGGCCTAATGCCAAAGACATCCATGCTTTTTAATTTTGTTTGTAGTAATTATTTAAAGTCAATGTTAATGTTTGCAAAATACATGTTTCCATAAAGAAGAAAACATTTTTCAAAAAGTCTGCAAAATCCTATTAGTTTGATTTGTAACAATTTTTATAGTAATTAATTAAAGAAACATACTTTTTAAAGTTAATATACTAAGAGGACCTATACATGAAAGAGAGAAAGAAGCCACAGAAATGGTGCCTCATATAGTATGTCCATTTTCACAGTCAACCTGATCAAAGAAGACAGCTTGGTTTTCATTTCAAACATGCAAGCACACACAGGCAGAGGCAGAGGTACCAAATCAAACTAAACTAAAAAAAAAAAAAGAAAATTGAATATAAAGGATTTGGGCTTTTATTTTATTTTTTAACATCTTTTTTGGAGTATAATTGCTTTACAGTGGTGTGTTACTTTCTGCTTTATAACAAAGTGAATCAGTTATACGTATACATATATCGCCATGTCTCCTCCCACTTGCATCTCCCTCCCACCCTCCCTATCCCACCCCTCTAGGTGGTCACAAAGCACTGAGCTGATCTCCCTGTGCTATGTGGCTGCTTTCCACTAGCTATCTGTTTTACATTTGGTAGTGTATATATGTCCATGCCACTCTCTCACTTCGTCCCAGCTTACCCTTCCCCCTCCTATGTCCTCAAGTCCATTTTCTACGGCTGCGTCTTTATTCCTGTCCTGCCCCTAGGTTCTTCAGAACCATTTTTTTTTTTTTTAGATTCCATATATATGTGTTAGCATACGTTATTTGTTTTTCTCTTTCTGACTTACTTCACTCTGTAGGACAGACTCTAGGTCCATCCACCTCACCACAAATAACTCAATTTCTTTTCTTTTTATGGCTGAGTAATATTCCATTGTATGTATGTGCCACATTTTCTTTATCCATTATCTGTCGATGGGCACTTAGGTTGCTTCCATGTCCTGGCTATTGTAAATAGAGCTGCAGTGAACATTGTGGTACATGCCTCTTTTTGAATTATGTTTTTCTCAGGGTATATGCCCAGTAGTGGGATTGCTGGGTCATATGGTAGTTCTATTTTTAGTTTTTTAAGGAACCTCCATACTCTTCTCTATAGTGGCTGTATCAACTTACATTTCCCCCAGTAGTGCAAGAGGGTTCCCTTTTCTCCACACCCTCTCCAGCATTTATTGTTTCTAGATTTTTTGATAATGGCCATTCTGACTGGTGTGGGGTGATACCTCATTGTAGTTTTGATTTGCATTTCTCTAATTATTAGTGATGTTGAGCATCCTTTCATGTGTTTGTTGTCAATCTGTATATCTTCTTTGGAGAAATGTCTATTTGGGTCTTCTGCCCATTTTTGGATTGGGTTGTTTGGTTTCCTGGTATGTATGAGCTACATGAGCTGTTTGGTTTCCTGATATGTGTGAGCTAAATTTTGGAGATTAATCCTTTGTCAGTTGCTTCGTTTGCAAATATTTTCTCCCATTCTGAGGGTTGTCTTTTCGTCTTGTTTACGGTTTTCTTTGCTGTGCAAAAGCTTTGAAGTTTCATTAGGTCCCATTTGTTTATTTTTATTTCCATTTCTCTAAGAGGTGGGTCAAAAAGGATCTTGCTGTGGTTTATGTCATAGAGTGTTCTGCCTGTGTTTTCATCTAAGAGTTTGATAGTTTCTCGCCTTACATTTAGGTCTTTAATCCATTTTGAGCTTATTTTTGTGTCTGGTGTTAGGGAGTGATCTAATCTCATACTTGTACATGTACCTGTCCAGTTTTCCCAGCACCACTTATTGAAGAGGCTGTCCTTCCTCCACTGTACATTCCTGCCTCCTTTATCAAAGATAAGGTGACCATATGTGCATGTGTTTATCTCTGGGCTTTCTATCCTGTTCCATTGATCTATATTTCTGTTTTTGTGCCAGTACCATACTGTCTTGATTACTGTAGGTTTGTAGTATAGTCTGAAGTCAGGGAGCCTGATTCCTCCAGCTCCATTTTTCTTTCTCAAGATTGCCTTGACTATTCAGGGTCTTCTGTGTCTCCATACAAATTTTAAGATTTTTTGTTCTACTTCTTTGAAAAATGCCATTGGTAGTTTGATAGGGATTGGATTGAATCAGTAGATTGCTTTGGGTAGAATAGTCATTTTCACAGTGTTCATTCTTTCAATACAAGAACATGGTATATCTCTCCATCTATTTGTATCATCTTTAATTTCTAAAGAAATTAATCAGTGTCTTATAATTTTCTGCATACAGGTCTTTTGTGTCCTTAGGTAAGTTTATTCATAGGTATTTTATTCTTTTTGTTGCAGTGGTAAATGGGAGTGTTTCCTTAATTTCTCTTTCAGATTTTTCAATATTAGTGTATAGGAATGCAAGAGATCTATGCATTAATTTTGTATCCTGCTACCAGATTCATTGATTAGCTCTAGTAGTTGTCTTTTAACATCTTTAGGGTTCTCTATGTATAGGATCATGTCTTCTGCAAACAGTGACAGCTTTCCTTCTTCTTTTCCAGTTTTTATTTCTTTTTCCTCTCTGATCACTCTGGCTAGAACCTCCAAAACTATGTTGAATAATAGTGGTGAGAGTGGACGTCCTTGTCTTTTTCGTGATCTTAGAGGTCATGATTTCATTTTTCACCATTGAGAATGATGTTTGCTTTGGGTTTGTTGTATTTGGCCTTTATTATGTTGAGGTAAGTTCTCTCTATGCTCACTTTCTGGAGAGTTTTTATGATAAATGGGTGTTGAATTTTGTCAAAACCTTTTTCTGCATCTATTGAGATGATCATATGGTTTTTATCCTTCAATTTGTTAATATGGGGTATCACATTGATTGATTTGCATATATTTAAGAATCCTTGCATTCCTAGGATAACCCCTACTTGATTATGGTGTATGATCCTTTTAATGTGCTGTTGGATTCTGTTTGCTAGTATTTTGTTGAATATTTTCACGTCTATGTTCATCTGTGATATTGGTCTGTAGTTTTCCTTTTTTGTGAAATCTTTGTCTGGTTTTGGTATCAGGGTGATGGTGGCCTCGTAGAATGAGTTTGGGAGTGTTCCTCCCTTTGCTATATTTTGGAAGAGTTTGAGAATATAGGTGTTAGCTCTTCTCTAAATGTTTGATAGAATTCACCTGTGAAGCCATCTGGTCCTGGACTTCTGTTTGTTGGAAGATTTTTAATCACAGTCTCAATTTCAGTGCTTGTGATTGGTCTGTTTATACTTTCTATTTCTTCCCGGTTCAGTCTCGGAAGGTTGTGCTTTTCTTAGAATTTGTCGATTTCTTCCAGGTTGTCCATTTTATTGGCATTAATCTCTCATGATCCTCTGTATTTCTGCAGTGTCAGTTGTTACTTCTCCTTTTCATTTCTAATTCTATTGATTTGAGTCTTCTCCCTTTTTTTCTTGATGAATCTGGCTATTGGTTTATCAATTTTGTTTATCTTCTCTAAGGACAAGCTTTTAGTTTTATTGATCTTTGCTATTGTTTCCTTCATTTTCATTTATTTCTGATCTGATCTTTATGATTTCTTTCCTTCTGCTAACTTTGGGGCTTTTTTGTTCTTCTTTCTCTAAGTGCTTTAGCTGTAAGGTTAGGTTGTTTATTTGAGATGATTCTTGAGGTAGGATTGTATTGCTAAAACCTTCCCTCTTAGAACTGCTTTTGCTGCATCCCATAGGTTTTGGGTCGTCATGTTTTCATTGTCATTTGTTTCTAGGTATTTTTTTGATTTCCTCTTTGATTTCTTCAGTGAACTCTTGGTTATTTAGTAGTGTATTGTTTAGCCTCCATGTGTTTTTATTTTTTTACAGATTTTTTCCTGTAATTGATATCTAGTCTCATAGCATTGTGGTTGGAAAAGATACTTTATACGATTTCAGTTTTCTTAAGTTTACCAAGGCTTGATTTGTGACCCAAGATATGATCTATCCTGGAGAATGTTCCATGAGCATTTGAGAAGAATGTGTATTCTGTTGTTTTTGGATGGAATGTCCAATAAATATCAATTAAGTCCGTCTTGTTTAATGTATCATTTAAAGCTTGTGTTTCCTTATTTATTTTCATTTTGGATGATCTGTCCATTGGTGAAAGTGTCGTGTTAAAGTCCCCTACTATGATTGTGTTTCTGTCAGTTTCCCCTTTTATGGCTGTTCAGATTTGCCTGATGTATTGAGGTGCTCCTGTGTTGGGTGCATAAATATTTACAATGGTTATATCTTCTTTTTGGATTGATCCTTTGATCATTATGTAGTGTCCTTCTTTGTCTCTTGTAATAGTCTTTTTTTAAAGTCTATTGTGTCTGGTATGAGAATTGCTACTCCAGCTTTCTTTTGATTTCCATTTGCATGGAATATGTTTTTCCATGCCCTCACTTTTAGTTTGTATGTGTCCCTAGGTCTGAAGTGGGTCTCTTGTAGACAGCATATATACGTTCTTGTTTTTGTATCCATTCAA